GTTAGGTGTTGAAGGCCTTGGAGGCTTTTTCTTTTTATTTTGGAGGTTTTGTTATTCTCGGTTATGGGACGGTGAACCCGTTTTCCAGCAGGTGCTGCTCCCCACCAATAGACTGGAGCCAACAGGTGGCCTGCTAGTGGTGGTGGACTCTTATCACCATCTCTAGCAGGGTCATCTGAGGGTTTTTTCAACAAAAAAAAAAGGTGTTGAAGGCCTTGGGGGCTTGCTTATTTACCTGGCTCAGAGGAGTATATCAGGACAGAGGTCTCTGGGACCGGAGCTGTTCCTAGTTTTAAATACTCATCTGAAGCTTAAGTGAAGCTGGCTGATGCTGTCAGTATGGTTTATCCGGGTTGAATTGTAAAGTCCCCGGCCTCGTTGAAACATTTTTAATAAAGTGCTTGGTTAAAAAAAAATTAAAAAAATTTGGGCGACCATCTGGAATCGGTTTTGTATACGTTCCTGACCATGGGAAGCCATGGTCGGGCGACGGTGTTTTCACTGTTCTGTCCATCCGTAGCCTCTTCTATTGAGAAACAAACAGAGGCAATGCCTGCCCACCCCTCGTCACCGTGATGCAGGACTGGTACAGCCTTGCTCTCGCACCACAGCTGTGGTTCCAATCTACCCCGTGGGCCCAAAATGGGATTATGGGACCAGTGTCCGTGGGCTGGGGATAGATCCAGGTTGGTTGGTTGGTGTTCCCCCGTACTATTACTATAGTACATAGACTACCTTCTTCCCCCCCCGAATACAACGTACGGTCATTATAGCTGTATCTAGACTGAAAGATACATCAAATACAGCTATAATGACCGTACGTTGTATTCGGGGGAAGGAGGTAGTGAGAGGATGAGATAGACGGGTACTACCAAGAAAGATGAAATAGATGAGAGAAAAATATAGCTTACCTTTAAAGTTTAAACAAAAAAAGAAAAGCATGGATATCGGCCTCGTTCCACTGCACAACATCCTAAACGTATCCGGACCTCAAAGTGGAGCCCCCGTACATTTAAAACGTTGAATAACTCCGAATGAGTCTCAGACTGGTCGAAGTTCAGTCCAGATTTCAATATAAAAAATCAGTCGAGAAACATGTAAAATGTTGAGCAGCCGGCAGCAGCTGCTAGGCTTGCAGGGGCCCCCTGCATAGGGCCTCGTTCGACACCACTAGAAAACCGTTACTTTGTAATGGCGCCCTTACGACGAAAATGTGATTAGTTTTCCCTTACTCCGTTTTTCGTTCCACAACCACTTACGAAAACCCTACACTTTATCGCACTTACATTTCAGGTGCCCCCGTTCGCGCCTTGCGCAGAGAATTGAATGTGAGTGTCCGACCCAGTGTTGCGGCGGACAAAATAGTGTCCGCCTGCCTTGGGCCCGCGGGAAACCCAGGCCTGCCAGTTCCCCAAGGCGGGCGTGGGCCTGTCGTGGGCGTGCAGCGTCATTCGGCCGTGGAGGTTAAAGCGCGCTAGGACCTTGAACATTCGAATTCAAATTCTGCGCCCGCCAATTCCCTTCGCGCTCATCGCTTTGTGGACTCCCTGCCGTTGCATTTCCCGTAGTGTACGCGCCAGTCATCCATCGTTGAGCGTGCGCACGTGGCTTCACGTGTCGCTGGCGTGTGCGTTTTGTGCGCAGCGTAGTCTAGCTATGGACAACAGTGGGCGTGATCCACAGGCCGCGAGGAGATTGTCAACCAGTGAGAAGAGCATGGTCGCCAGTGCTGTCCTCGCTGTGTGCCGGTACATGGAGACGGTGAACGGGTTGCGGCGTGCGGGTGGGCGGGGGAGGGGGAGGAGGGAGGCCGCCATAGCCCAGGCATTGGCAGACGTCTGTACATCGTCCGGTCTATCAGATGCTCCTTTCCTGTTGTCCAACGCAATTGTTGCTGGTGTTCTGCCCAGGGACACACCGTGGTGGTGGATGAAAAGACGAACGGGCGGGACGTGGCGAAACTTGGACATTGTAGACGATGCAACGGATGAATATTTCCATGACAAGCTTCGAATGTCGAGGGCCATATTCAGGGACATTGTTGCGGCTTGCAGTCCATTCATCGACTGTAGACTAACGCACTACCGCGAGCCCTTGCAGACAGACCTTATCGTCGCCTTCGCGTTATACCGGTGGGCCACCGGGGAGACGTTTGAGAACACTTCGTCGAGCTTTGGCATCGGCAGGTCGTCCGGGGTGACGGCCGTCACGGACGTCACCAATGCAATACTGGTTGCATATCCAGACAAAGTCGCCATGCCGTCCGGCCGTCGGCTGCTGCAGGTGACCCGAGCATTCGGAGCGAAGGGCTTACCTTATTGTTTCGGCGCAATCGACTGCACGCACGTGTATGTGGACAAGCCCGCCAACGCACCGTCGGAGAACTACTTCGATCGAAAACAGCAGTTCTCGGTCGTCGCCCAAGTTGTCGTCGACCTCGACATGAGAATTCTCTATGTGTTCATGGGCTACCCGGGGAGCGTCCACGACCAGCGGGTTCAGAGAAATTCTTCACTCTTTCGACGTGCGGAGGCGGGCGAGCTCTTCGTCGCAGAACCTGTTCTGCTGCCAGGGAGGGTGTCCACAACAGGGTACCTGCTTGGGGACAATGGCTACTCGCCGAGAACGTGGATGCTGGTTCCATACGGTGGGACAGACCAACCAGGGGACATCGGATTGTTTGACACGTGGCAGAAGACGACGAGAGGAGTCGTGGAGAGGGCCTTCGGGCGTTTGAAGGGGATGTGGAGGTTGTTCCTCCGCCATCACAAGACTAACATGGATAATCTGCCTCAGCAATTTCTGGCCGTTTGTATCATCCACAACTTGTTGCTTGAGGCGGGCATACCGTTCGACGACTCGGTCCTGCTCGAGCCGGACGAGAACGACAATCTGGTTCGTGTCGATCTGGGGTTGCAAGATCCGCCACGACCAGTGTCGCAATCGGGCGCAACCGACGCTGCCCTGGCTTTGCGTGACGGGTTACGTGTGCGAATGATGAGCTGAATCTTTGGGTGTGCGGCCGACGGTCATGTTCGGTATCTTTGGGTGTGTCGATTACAGGGTTTACTGCTTTAGACGACGCCCGTCAATCCTTCTCCACTTGGAGAAGCAATCAATGCTGGTTGCCTTTTTTGGTTTAGTGTGGCGTGTGCGGTCGTCGGCGGGGGGAATGGGCCGATCGTGCATCGCTATATCGGTGTGTTTATGTGATGACAGTTCGTTGATTTTATCTCCCGCGTTCATGTTCTAGTTTTTTATATAAGTGAACATTTTGTGTCTTTCTTTCAAAAAGTCATCATCCTTTCTTGTCCTATTGATATTCCGCGTGGACGGTAAATGTTTTTCAATCTGTGTTTTTTTTTCCCAAAAGATAACGACTATGTGTGTTCATTTGCTTTCTCAGTTTTACAATCGTTCATGGGTGAGGCGAAGCAGACAATAGAAGTTTGTTGCACATGAGCTTTATATGTGTTCGGCACAGTACAGAACCCGAATGTAATCGACATCCGCACACCCATTGGCAAAAAAAAATAGCCACGCAAAAGCACATACTCTCTTCACAATCTGAAATCCACACTCTGCAAACAGAGGGCAAAAGACACAAACCAGCCAACACAATTGACCCCTAAAAGTGCATGTGAACTTAAAAAAACGTCATGAACAACTCCACCACCACCTCACAAACCCTAAATGTGCCACGCGCATGTGTTACCACCTCCCCCACCATGTCAGTTCCAATGTGAGCCATGCTTGTGCCGCATGCCAACAAAAGTACACGGGGAAACGTCTCTCCACAACATTCGAAGAACAGGGACACGCAGTCGTTGTCCATCGTAAACGAAGAAGATGAGCCAAACAAAAAA